CACCATGACACCACCACCACCAGCCTGAACCGTTGATACAAGGCAGGATGGATCCATGCTTTCATGTTGTAGACGCCAAATTCTGACCCTACCATCCGAATGTCGCAGCAGAAATCGAGACTCATCAGACCAGGCAACGTTTTTCCAATCTTCTATTGTCCAATTTCAATGAGCTTGTGCAAATTGTAGCCTCAGTTTCCTGTTCTTAGCTGAAAGGAGTGGCACCCGGTGTGGTCTTCTGCTGCTGTAGCCCATCTGCCTCAAAGTTTGACGTACTGTGCGTTCAGAGATGCTCTTCTGCCCACCTTGGTTGTAACGGGTGGTTATTTGAGTCACTGTTGCCCTTCTATCAGCTCCAACCAGTCTGGCCATTCTCCTCTGACCTCTGGCATCAACAAGGCATTTCCGCCCACAGAACTGCCGCTCACTGGATGTTTTTTTCTTTTTCGGACCATTCTCTGTAAACCCTAGAGATGGTTGTGCGTGAAAATCCCAGTAGATCAGCAGTTTCTGAAATACTCAGACCAGCCCTTCTGGCACCAACAATCATGCCACGTTCAAAGTCACTCAAATCACCTTTCTTCCCCATACTGATGCTCGGTTTGAAGTGCAGGAGATTGTCTTGACCATGTCTACATGCCTAAATGCACTGAGTTGCCACCATGTGATTGGCTGCTTAGAAATTAAGTGTTAACGAGCAGTTGGACAGGTGTACCTAATAATGTGGCCGGTGAGTGTATACATTTTTGCAGAGCAGATTAGAGCCAGAAAACTTGTATCTAGTGCATTACTTAAATACATTTAAACATAAGAAAAAACGTAAGACTTAAAGGTGATCAAACCAAAAGGTGAGTTTAACTCAAATAGTCACCCGATCCAAAATCCACCCGATGGATTCTGGCTTACGCAGTCCAAACAGAGATCAAAAAAGGGTCAAAATCCAGTTCTTTGCTTGCTTTATTCTCCGTACAGAAAACCAGGTTACAGGCTTCACGGGATTCATCCATTGCTCTCACTCTGATTCCTGCACCCTTTCTTTGATTGACTGACTGAGAACTGTGCCTGTATATTGATAAAACTGATAAAAAACCATTTGACCACCCACGTGCATAATGAGCTACTAAATACCTATTTATACTGTGAAACATCCACATCCCAAGATAAAATTAATTAACTAATTAAGTGAATTCCTAAACAAATCTTATTCTAAATAACAAATAAAACTAAATCATCTAAATTCTAAGATTTAACTCAAAATGGTGAAACAGCTCCTACACTGTGTACTAGTTTAGTATGAAGAAATTAGAACATAGAAACAGGAATATAAAGAAGTTTGAAACTGTTAACATCTTTCCCTTTGTTTACAATAAAATGCTAATCAAACATTACAAAGTCTATATTCTACATATCATTTCATATCTAACTTGTTAATCAAAGTTTTGAATATTTACAGCACGTTATTTTTTCATATTGTCTCTGAGTGCTGACTGAAAGATACATACATCATGTTAGCTCCAATGAAGAAAATGAAATAACCTATTCCTTAGACTTAAAGAGCTTGAATAAACATTTTCATGAATCCCTTACTGTGGGTTTGACCCTCCGTTTCTTTCTCCATTCTGATCTTCAGCTCCTTTAGTACTTGAACCTTCTCTTTTTCTCCCCTTTCATTCATCTTCTCAATTAGGTAGTCCAGGTGTTTAAAAGTGTAACCTGAGTTAATATTCAGGGCGATCTGATCCAGTTTGATAACATTATTGTAGGCCTCATCCAGCAGTGATGACTGCTCTGTTTTTAGTTTGCTGGCTTCCGTCTCCAGGTTTTCCAAAAGACTTGACTTGGTCTCCCATTCTGTTTTATTCTTTTCATATTTTTCTTTCACATCTTTGAGGGTCTTCTGAACTTTTCTGGTTATTATCTCATATCTCCAGTTTTCTTTCTTATGAACTGATGCGGGACACTTCTTGGTACAAACTGTGCAGTGACCCCATCTTATGACTGTACAGTGTCCAGGTTTTCTGGCCATTGTGCATCCTGGATAGTGACAGTTCTCCTCACAGACAGAACAGGTGATGGCTCCTTCTAAAAACACCAAACCCCATTTTCCACCATTGATTGATTCTTTTTTTTTGGAGACCTCATCAACTTCTATAGTAAAGTTCTCGTTCTCCTTCATCTCTTCTTCATGTTTAGTATACTCTGCTTTAGTCTGTTTGATTTCATTCTGCTTTAGTTCAGTCAGCTTGATTCTCTCCTGCAGGTTCTGGATGCAGGCCTCCAGTCTGATCCGTTCATTCAGAACCTCTATGGTTGTTTTTAGAGGCTGAGGTTTGGTTTTCTTCAGAAAGTCTCTCAAACTACCCATCTCTTCATTAGTGAAGTCCAAGGAGTATTTTGAACCAACCTGATCTTTCTCTGTTCTGTTTCTCTGTTCGATCTCTTGATTATTAAACATGAAGTGAACAGGCTGATTCATTTCATCTGTGGAACATTTAATTTCTGCATCTTTCAAGGCCTGTAGCACATTTTCAGGTCGTCTCCCATCAGAATGAGTGACTCAGTCGATTATCACTGGCCTTCATCACCAGACCTACTGCATTGATCTCATGAACTCCATGTTCTGAGCTGAACAGGTCAAACAATCTTCGGCTGACAGAGACATCTTCTTCAAATCCTCTGGTGCTTCCAAATCGAGGAGTATCGATGATGGTCAGAGAGAACGGCAGACTTTGCCCTTCAAAACCGAAAATCTGATAGACGATCACATCTGATGTCTGACTTTGTGATTGACTTCTCTCCTCCTCTTCCACAATCTGAAACCACATTTCGTCCTCAAACTTCACTCCCACAGCATAGTTAAACAGAGCATTGATCAAGGTGGACTTTCCTGCTCCTTTTTCACCAACAAGTAAGATGGTTTTATTGATCTTGTTCTCATCTTTCTCACCAACCATCACTCTGGTCAAAGTTCCAATCCTCTCTTTCTTTGGTATCAGCTGGTAGATAGAAGGAGGTCCACGATGGATTTGAACACTTTCTGATATTAAAGCCTCCTGATTTGATGAACTAATTCCAATCCTGTAAAAAAAAAAAAAAAAAAAACTTGTTTATTGGGGGTTTCTTTTCCATTTGTTCCTCCTATAAATTAGTAAAGGTACTTCAATTAAGCATTGTAACAGACTGTGTAGTTATGGGGGGAGTGCCTGGGGTATTTTTCATCTACAAGGTGAATCCCAAAAGAAGATGGTGGAGCAAAGTAGAGACAAACAAACAAACGCATCCCCTACCACTGCCTTTCCCCATGGTCCTCACCATATGGAAATAGCTTTAAGTCGCCTATTGAGCTGGGTTACAAAGCCCAGGCTGCGCATGGAGGTAACTAGTATAATTTCTATCCACTATCACTTATCCTTCAACATAAGCTCTGGCTCCTTTCCCCTCCCGATGTGACATTCAAGAGCCACAGAAGCATTTAAGCCTTAAGAGACCTAACCAGGGGCCTTTAAGCCCCTAAGAACATAGCCTCTGGGATTGTTTGAGCACTTAAACCCCTTCACCATTTTAAACTTGTGGTTCAAGGAGGAGAAATTTGAGAAAACCTGGTTAAGTGAACAGGATTACGGAAAAGTGATTACGGAGTTTTTACCTTCTAAAGCCCCATAAACCACCAGTGCATATGGCAGACATGAAGTCCAGCCCTCCCATTATATACCCACCTAAGCGAAAGATTTAATTTACTTGTTTTCATCATCAGCAGTTTGTTGATATTCTTATTGCTAAGTACAAATGGCAGTAGTGGCCTAGTGGTTAGGGCAAAGGGCTTTGAATCCTGAGGTTGTGGGTTCAATCTCTCACTTGATCCAACAATATATATATATATGTTATATTATATAGCAAATGAAAGTAATGAAAACTTCTAACAGTATTTTCTTCCATATCGTGTAGCATTGTCTGTGGGCCCTCAGAGGTGATTGTTGTCTGGGGAGCTATGACATAGAAAAATATGGAAACCCCTGCTTTGTACTGTTGAAAAGTTAAGCATTTTCTCTTACATACCAGGATAACTTATAAAGGTTTAAAATTGACATTTAGAAACTAAATGTACATGTGTTGTAGCGCTGATCTGGTTCCTTGATCCATTCTGCTGTATATTTCCTCCAGTTCCTGCAGCTTTTCTTCATCCCCTTGTCCCTTCATCTTTTTGATAAGGTAGTCCAAAATTACAAAAGTGGATGCTGAGTCATCATTTGAATTGTTCTTAACTAACTCATACAGTTTCCTGAAAAGCCTGTATGCTTCCTTTATAAGTCGTCTCTTCTCCACTTTCAGTTCTATTTTCTCCGTTTCAAGTCTTTTTGAAAGCTTCTTCTCTCCTCCTCCCTGTTTCTGTTCATAATGTTTTTTTTAATTCTTCTTTAGTTTTCTGGACTTTCTGGGTCACAATTTGCCAGTTTTTCCCCCCATGTTTTGCTGCAGAACACTTGTTGGTACAAGAGGTACATTCTCCATTTACCATCATCCCACATTGTTGAGAATCTAAGGCGGTCATACAGCCAGGATAGTGACAGTTCTCCTGACAGCGCAAACAACAGACAGCTGTTTCAAAACCACATCTCTTATCTGTGAGAGGCTCCATATGTTTGTAGGTCTGTGGAATAATTACCTTTATCTTATCACTTTTGCACTTCTGTTTGTTGTTACAATGAGCCCCTTCAGTCATTCTAACATCTCTCAGTTTTAACTCATTAAACTTTATTCTCTCCTGCAGGTTTTGGATACAGGCCGTCAGTCTGATCTGTTCTTTTTGTAAGATTTGCTGAGGTGAAGATTTTTCCTGAAGGAATGTAAACTGTATCAATCCATCTTCTGATACTCTCCAAGCATTTTCTCTATATAATCTTGGTTCTTCGGTCTGATCATGGCAGTTATCAAACTGAAAATAAACTGCCTGATTTTTCTCATTTTTGTCACATTTGATGTTTGCAGCTTCAAGAGCCTGAAGAACCTTTTCAGCTTGTTTTCCATTTGAGTTTGTCAGGAGAGCTACAACATTTTTCTCCACATCGTTTCCAAACCGGGACAAAATGAAATCATAGATGTTCTTCAGTTGGTCACTGACGACATTACCCCCCTCCTCAATGACCAGACCTACTGCATGAACTTCATGGATTCCATCATCTGATTGGAATAATTCCAGTAATTGTTGTTCCAACCCTGCATCTCCATATCCAGGAGTATCAATGATGGTCAGAGAGAATGGCAGTGTTTGATCCTCAGAATCATATATCTGATAGACGACAACATCTGATGTCCGACTTCCTGCCTGACTTCTGTCCTCTTTCTCCTCAACTATCTGAAACCAGATCTCATCCTCAAATTTTACACCCACAGCGTAGTTGAACAAAGCATTGACAAAATTGGATTTTCCAGCTCCTCTTTCACCAACAAGCAAGATGGTTTTTGTTTTGTTCTAATTTTTGTCTCCAACAGTTAATTTTGTCAGAGATTTAATCTTCTCTTTCTTTGTTTTCAGCTGATAGATCTTAGGAGGACCTGGACAAACTAGATCACTTTTGGAGATAATGTCCTCAATCTCTGAAGAATTACTGTTCCTGTAAAACAAGAGAAAATGTTCAACACATGTTTTAAAGTAAGATTTATAGTTTTAAAAAAAGAAAGAAAAAGAGTATACCGCAATGCATTAATGGCTTGATAAAGAGTATTTCAGCTAGCAAGTTGCTCAAGCTGTTAAAACAGTTACTGGGACATTTAACGATAATTCAATGACACTGTTACAAATTTAAAGCTGTCAGTTATCTTGGTACAAAATGTTGATATAGATAAACTTTAAACTCCCATTCTGCTGTAATCTTTAGTTTAATCTCTAACTCTCTCTCTCTTGCAGTAGCAGCAACATTTAACTAGCAGCAACTTTGTGTTATGTTTCTGGCCTGTCAACTAGTGTTTGTGATTTCATTCCCCTCACCCTTCTGCTCTGACTGTTCATTTGGCCCTCCTGTGCTGCTGCTCAGCCTATTTCTGCCTCCTGTTTTTTGAGCCTGCCTAGCCCCTGTTGGATCTGTTTTTTGTGCCGCCTGGATTCCTGACCTGTTTCTGTGCCCTTACCTGGTTCATTGGATTCTGTTTTGGATTCTCTGAATATCTGATCACCTGGCACTACCCTGGACGTCATTTGACCAAGATTACCTGCTAAGCCTTAGTGATAAATAACTGTCAAGGAACCAAAGTTATAATGAACCAAGACAACCCGCCTGGATATTAAAGGTTAGTTGCTTAGCAGTCTGAACTTTTAATCATCCATCTCAGCCACTAACCTGTTCTCTCCCCTCCAGAGGCTCTGGTTTCCCTGATTCTGTTTTACCTGCAGAGTTTCTTCAGTAAAAAGTTTTTACCCGTTCTGGTTGTATCTGGGTCCACAGTCTTAATCTTAACAACTTTGTGTTTTATTTTAAATTAAAAGTTATGAGACGGGTTGGTTTAAAAAAGACATCCCCCAGAAAAAGCTTCTAGACATACTGAGCTCTGTCAGCAAAAACTGTAAAAGAATGTAAGTTTATAATAGGCAAGTTTTTATTATCATGCAATAAGTTTGACAAAACTGCCTTTAATTGCCTTTAAATGCTGGGTTTTTCCTTATTTGTTAAACAAAATATATCATCTCAGCTCCTGAGAGGACCATGACATACAGTTACACGTAAAATGTAACTGAATCTGTCTCACCCTCCTGCTGCAGATGTTCTAGATATTCTAAATTACTGAGATTTTAAAGTCATGCAGAGGCAACTTATAAATTACTTTGTCTGGCATCAGTATAGTAGTGGACACCTTAATGTTATGTTTTTCAGCAGAGCACAGTGATATGCAACATGCAATAAAATATGTCCCAGAAATATTTAACAAAAAAAGAAAAAAAAAACCTGTTATATGCTATATCTAAAATACACCACATCGGTTTGTCTTTTGTAAAACAAACGGCAAGACTCAGAATTAGCTTTTCCAGCCAACTTGGAAACAACTACAGAGTCTAACGGAAGTAGAGCTAATACCAGTGGAACAATGATTTGGTATAAATCTCTTAAGTTATTGCTGTAATTGTAGTCAATTCTTGCCCAGCTTGTGCTGTCTTTCTTCTAAGCTTTCTGAAACAGTATTAGAGGGGCATTGACACTGAAATTAGATAATTTTTGGAAAATATTCCCACATACACTTTACTGTTAGGCGTTCTGGCTGGAAAGCCAACCAGACTGTCCAGCCAGAAAGAGAAGTTCTGTCCGTGTAGAAACTGAATGTTTCTGTATTAATGTAGTCTGTTTTTGTGAGATAATGGGTTTTCTATTATCAGATTATTTACAGACTTGCAGCAACAAGCTCAATGATAATATAACATGCTGGAAATGGACCATGATATTTTCTCTCTGTATTTCTTACAGACATACAAAATCCTAGAACTTTCAGAGTGGTGAACTTTTGGATTTTTTGTTCATTGATTTAGGTTATTTATCAAGAGATACTCACTTTTCCATGGCGGTCCCCAGATCAGAAGTCTGTGAGGAATAGATAAATGATTATTTGAAGGATATAGAAAACCTTTCCAAAAATGAAAAATTAATTATGTCAGATGTATCATATTGTTGGATTATTTTGCATTAATACTAGATGTGTGTATTGAATGTATTCCTATTTTTTTCAAAAATGCTATTTTAAAAAATGTAGTGTTTATACATGTAAGTTTCTAGCATTGTTTATCTCATTCACATGCACATATTCAAGAGAAGATTTTGATACGACCTTATTCAAAAAGACTCAAATTAAAACCGTCTGATGCATGAATTATGAAAGCCTTGATCAAGATTTTTCTTTTTCAAGGGTGTTTATCCTTGTTCGGATATGAAAAAAAAGTTACCTTTTTAAAAAAAAATAATGTTGTTTCATAATGTTCAATAATGTTGTTTGCGAGGTTTTAAAGATGTCTGTGAGGGCACCAGCCAGCTGATCTGCACACTCCTTATACAGCCGCCCAGGTATGTTATCAGGCCCTGAGCCCTTCCTTGTGTTGACTCTCCTCAGAGTTTTCCTCACTTCAGCTACGTCCAGGTTTAGTGTCTCCTCACCTGGATTTAAAACATTTTGTGACCGTAGCCCCAGCAGGCATTGGCGATCATATATGTGGGTTTGATGTCTAGTCTGTATTGTATTAAGCGGCGTATTTTGTGAAATTATCGGAATTGTCGAGAGGAGCCGTTCTTGGCCATTGCTTTGGGGTGTCGCCATGGTAACCCACCCAAGGCTATGACAAGTTTGATGATGTTTCACTTCCCATCCAGGAAGCTTTTTCAATTCAAAACAGTCGCAGAAACTACAGCTAGTCTGCAGAAAGTATACACAAAACACACTAAAATGTAAATTCGAAATTAATAGCTTATATGTGTAACGTTAAAACACTGAATTATAAGAAAAACCATTACAAGACACAGCAAAGCAACTATAGGAATTATTTTAAAAACATGCAATGGCTGATGCATGACGTCAACTTCATTGGACACATGGTTAATCATAATTTTCTACATATTAAACAAAAAAATATATATTTCAAACTGATAATATCCTTCCTTAGAGGTTACTGTAAACCTGTTGGGCTCTTCTACAATAGAAGGATTAAGAGAATATGCCAGCAGTGGTCGACAGGTGTTGCTGTTTGTTGGCTTTCTTGGATTCAGAATAAATTTATTTGCAGTTACAATGACTGACCACTTAATTGACCTCAATGGAGTGGGACAGCAGAGAGCACTCTAGACACTAATATGTAGTTTCACTATAGAAACCATAGAATTAAAGAGATATTTATTTTTTAGTAGCTGTCCACTACAGTGACCGCTATGTACTAGAGGGTTATATTTTCCTGACACTTGGGATCTGCGTTGCATTGTGGGACGTGGCGGCCATGTTGATGGCTACGCAAACGTAAACATAGCTCTGATACAACGTTGTTGTTGAACGAAGAGACGTAGAAGTAGAGAGAAAAAATATGTTAAAATCCCAAAAAGGATCTGGAATTTACTGGGACACATTAAATAGAGAAGCCACGGACTAGTATGTTGACAAAATCAGCATTATTAATAATTTGGATCCATATGATGTTCCAAACAATGAGTGGAGCACTGATGAGTGAGCGCCTATACTTCAAAACAGTTCTGAAGCTACAAGTCCTTGGAGTCTCATGTGCAGTTCATGAATGGATGGGTTCAGGAGCTGCAGATCATAAAGCCAGCAAACAGTGGGAACACAGTAATCCGTACGAAGGTAAGCTGTGCTTAGACGGGCTCTGGAACCTGCTAGTTTAATAATTGCTAACCGTTAGTGCTAACAACCACTCACGCATGTAATGTACTTTTAACTAGCTGCTATGTGTTTCAAAGGTGTAGTTAGTAACGTTAACTGCCAACACTCCCCAAACCCTCCGGGTTTCTCACGTATTTGAGCCTTTTCCCGCTGCCGTTTTAATTATTTTCCCGTAAAATATCCCAACCTTGAAGGAAAGAAACAAAGTAGGCTATAAAATAAAACCGTGCATCTTTAACTTACCAGAATGAAAATGCAGGGAACACACTCTCAATGACATCGGGATACTGTGGAAAGTTATGTTCGGTCGTCTTACAGCCGCGATCCAAGCTAGCCGACGACTCTTTATCTCTGAAAGCTTGGTCTCCATGGTTGCGCCTCCAGTCAGGAAAGCGGTGGAAAGTTAACCCATTTTCTATGTTTTTCCCCATGGCGATCATGTGTTGCGCTGTTACAGCCCACAATACAGCAATGGTTTACCATGGTTGAAATAAAGTTAAGGTGACATTAATCAAGTTAAAACAGGGCTGAGAGGGAGTACAGTACACGGTAGTTGTAGGCAGTTGTCTGAGCAGCGGTAAAGGAGACCATCAACATGGCTGCCACGCAAAGTAATTACGTCATGACGCCCAAGCCCCAATACATAATAACCCCACAAATCTCAATGACATAGGCTTTCATTGTCTCCTCACATTTAAGAATCAAACAAAAACAGGTTTAACTACTGTTTAAACTGAATTGTCACTCTGTATTTTTCCATTCCACAGTTCATCCCAGAATTTGCAATGAAACTGGGGCAGGTGAGAAACAGCAACCCCAAATAAATAAAAAAGGTGGCATTTATGAAACAAACCCTTTCAAAATTTAAGATCCCACTGGTGGAAAATTATTGAATTTATGTAGGTTATGATTTTTTCTTACCTAACCTTTTAAAGAGATGACTGTTGCATGGGGACTTTTAACCCATATCTTTCTCACAACAAAATGAGGCTTGAAATAACAATATTTATTCCAGCTGTAATGGAAAATTTCCATGATGAGATGCTAAGTACAAAATAAAAATTAATAGTTAAACTTAATTTTTACTGTAGTGGCAGTTATAACATGCAGACAAGTTAATCTGATTAATCCTATTGCAGTTCCAGTTTAATTGCAGAACCATTTTCCACTTCAGTTTAATTCCTTTCATTCTACATAAACCTCTAACCAGACCTCTGGGTGTGTTAGAAATTCTGGTTTTATAGTCTGCTTCAAACAATAGCACCCAGATATGCTCCATGACATGTTTGAAATTATGTAAAATCATTTACTTTACTTAAAAACATTTAAAAACATTTTAAAAAGTGTAAAAACTTTAATGTATATCCACACAATTTGGGCAGAGCTTTACATATTAATTCCCATATACTAAAACAAATTATCACACCTGTTTTTAAAACTCTTGTTTGCTCTCTGTTTATGTTTTAGCTATTTTATTTATTTATATTACTTTTATCCAAGCATACTACAAATATGGACATAATACACTGAATTTATCATATAGATTTACTAATGACAATAAAATGGACATGTTTTATTGGGAATAGTTTAGATCCCCACATTTTGAATCTGTTATCTGAAAAAATATGCATTATTTTTTAAGTAGACAGTAAATCTATCCTACCTTCTCTTCCTGGTTTCAAGAAGCTCTGTAAAGCTGTTGGTCCACTCCTAGGACTGGGAAAGGAGCTACACCCAGGTTTTATTTTGTCTAAAATATCAGGTGACCAAAATAGGCCATATGATTTCACAGAACTGAGAGCTCTAAAATAAATGGAAAAAAAAACACGAGTGTTGGACATTTCATCAGGGTGTTTTGCACATAAATACAGAAAAATAGTGGTGCATGTCCTTAATTAAACAAAGCATTTGATACAGAACAACTAAGTATAACTCTGCACAACATTGTTATGGTACCTTCCTTAAAATTTTAAATCAATTATATATTATGTATTCTATAGAGAACTCGAAAAGCAGACTCCCACCAAGCAACAAATTTCACCCCAAGTTGAGACTTGCACCTATACTTAAAACACAGACATCTCTCCCTCGTTCCCTGCTTGCTTACATTATTCATACTTTTTACCTTCTTATCTCCTTGCCAAATTGACAGAGATTTAGACAAAACTAACATTTTCATGGCTTCTCTAGCTGGACTCCTTTTTAAACATTTTAATATATATATTGTTGATATATTGTTCACATGAAAAACACCTTAGCGCTAATGGCTATCTTGAAAATTAAGATTTACTGACTGGCAGTGAATGTGTAGTAAATGCTGGTAATGGAAATGATACAGCCCTGCCGTTGTCTCAAAACAATGACCCCACCAGTGGTTTTAAACAGCAACTCATCGGAGTTCAACAATTAACCAACAGAACTGAGAAACAAGTTGCTGTTTCTAATGACAATAACTAGACTGGCGACCTCCACTGGGAAACGATTGGAGCAAAGCCAAAGAACAAACAATCCCACCTGTATCAGAAAAGGCACCTGACAAGGAGAATGGCACATTTAGATGATAAGACTTCTGGGAAACATTTCTACTCTAAATATTAAGAGGTGAAAAATTTGTTTGCTCCCAAAACAAAAGATAACGAAGGGCCGGCTGAGATTACTGACAATATAGGGAGTCCACTAAAACAAAGGGTTGGCTGCCCTGCAGAATGACCTTGAAGAAAACAGCCTATTTCCAGACAACAGAGAGATCAGCTCTCTCCCAAACAGCCTCATAGCAAACCAACTGCTAAGCTAAGAATGTGAATAGTGCCTGATGATCAGTGTTTTATCTTGACAGCCATCTTAGATTTAGTCTTAGTCTTCAGGAAGAAAACTTTTATGAGTCTTAGTCAAATTTGAGTCATTATGATATGTGATCATTTTAGTCAGTTTTAGTCGACTTAAACTTAAAAGGGTTTAGCCTAATTTTAGTCAGTGTTAAGTTGCAAAGTGAACCTTTAAAACTTGAAATAAGAACCAGACTCTTTACCAGACTGACGGCTCTTGCCTAGATACTATAATAGCGGGAGAGAGTCAAGTAAGCCACCTTGTGTAAGCCACCTCAAGTAAGCCCCCGGTCCCATCCCCCATTTATGATTTATGACCTCACCCCTTCCCCTCTTCCAATCCCACCCCCCATCCTCCACTCCATCACCCACCCCCCTTCCCTAAGCTAAACAATGAAAATAGGGGGTGGAATTTCGCCCCACTATAAATATTGCTGGGGAGATCTGTTTCTGTATTTTCAGCAAGAAAGCAATTTACATTCCTACCAAAAATGTCAAGAATTCCAAGAGCTATTTTTAAAAGCAGAGAATTTCGCATGGCATTGGAACATGAATCGATGTTACCTGACCAGCGTGAAGTAGGTGTAAAAAAACAAGATCAATTTTTCTGTCTGCAAAGAAATGGAGAACATGATGGAAGAATTCGGGATCGCACCTTTGGTGAAAGATGCTTCAACTTTGACAACCCTGGACACGATGGATGACTCCAAGACCACGCTTTCTCTGAAAGATGCTTCAACCCTGGACAATAGACTGGCCGAAGAAATAGAGGATGCGATGGATGCGAACAAAAAAATCTGTGTTGTCGAACTTTTCTTTTTTTTTCCGGATACCATCACAGCGGCTGAAAACCGCTCCGATATCCGAAAGAGAGAGACAACCTCTTCCTCAACCAAACATTTTCTCCCATAATAATAATAATCCTGCTGTTTATTTTGGTGACTTTTCTCTGATGGATTAACAAGACGCTACAAGGCGCTTACCTCAGCACAGATGAACCCTGCTCCATCCCGCGGCTCTACAGGGTCTACAACAGCCCACGCCACTCCAATCAGCTCCACATCCGCCCTGAAGCATCCAGGCAGAGTGCGTACGTCCTCGGTCACATGCTGGGTCCCGTGCCGGAACTATTGGCTTTCCCACACCTAATCACCCTTTACCCCTCACATCCCGAACCAACCCGGGCGGCGGATCTCCTGCAAGTCTTGCCGGTAACCATCCACATGGTCCGACGCCTAATCAGCCTTTCCCCCCTCACATCCCGAACCAACCCGGGTGGCGGATCTCCTGCTAGTCTTGCAGCTATCCATCCACAGCCCCCCAGCTTTCGGCCAATCAGCCAACCGGGTCTCTCACCTCATCACCAGAGATCCGAGCAGGGCGAGCAAGCCTTCCTCTCTCACCACCCACTGACAGCCAACTATTGGCCTATTCAAATCACCCAGTCTCTGAAGCTCACTCACTCACTGCCGGGGGTCCATTACAGCCCGGAGGCGGGGGAAGCTGTTGTCCAGGATGAAATTATAGTGGAAGCAAAAAGTGTTTTTCATGCGGATGGAGAATATCAACAAAACAAATATACTGCAAATCAAGAGAGAGCAGGTAAGTTTAAAAAGTTTACTTTTTTATCTTAGTCCTGTTTTCGGCCAATCAGCCAACCGGGTCTCTCACCTCATCACCAGAGATCCGAGCAGGGCGAGCAAGCCTTCCTCTCTCACCACCCACTGACAGCCAACTATTGGCCTATTCAAAACACCCAGTCTCTGAACTCACTCACTCACTGCCGGGGGTCCATTACAGCCCGGAGGCGGGGGAAGCTGTTGTCCAGGATGAAATTTTAGTGGAAGCAAAAAGTGTTTTTCATGCGGATGGAGAATATCAACAAAACGAATATACTGCAAATCAAGAGAGAGCAGGTAAGTTTAAAAAGTTTACTTTTTTATCTTAGTCCCGTTTGCCGAATTTACGGTTTCTTCACACACACACATATATATATATATATATATATATATATATATATATATATATATATATATATATATATATATATTAGTGCTGTCAATCGATTAAATTTTTTAATCGCGATTAATCGCATCAATGCCTGAGTTAACTCGCGATTAATCGCATTTTAATCGCACATTTTTTTTCCTGATTGAAAATCATTTAAATACTCTGGATGACATACAAAAAAATACATACAGGCTAGGTTTGTGCCAATGTTCTTTTTTTAAATGAAAACAGGTCACAGATACTGATTTATGCCATAGAAACATATGGCAAGAAGATGGGGAGGCATGTAGCAAAAAATAACAAATATGTAGCCAAAAAAAAGGCCCTGAAAACAGGCTGATGTAAAAGACAGTCTTTACAGTTAATACAGTCTTTTGAACAAAGACAAGCATTTTACCCTACTGCTATAAAATTTAGTAGAATTAACATTAGATGTTAATTAACCAAGGTAATAATGAACAATTTTCAATCAATACATCAAAATCAATAGACCAACATCACTAGATGAAGGTAGTCTATGCTCTCTAGAAAGTTACTTTTCAGCCTCTTAACAAAAATGAGAACACACACACACCCACTCACCCACTCACCCACACACAGACACACCCACCCACACACACACACACACACGATACCGACAAGAGTGCCGTAGCAGATTCCATTTCACCTCAGTAATCTGTTTTCTCAGCGTATTTCAGGTTGCTACTAGTTACCAGACACTCAACTTGTTTGTTGGTGGTGGGGCTTAAAGAAAAGGCACTAGCGCCACCCAGTGTATGAGCGTCTTTTTTCCTTGAGGAGCTCCGCTCTGGAAGCCTATGAGAAATGCATAGACTGGGGGAAAATAGCCCCGCCTTCCCGCAGGCTGCAGCGGGATGCACTTGGAAAATTGTACCATAAAACCACATAGCGTTAATCTCACGTTAAAAAAATTATCGCCGTTAAAATGGCCTCGCGTTAACGCGTTAATAACGCGATAATTTTGACAGCACTAATATATATATATATATATATATATATATATATATATACGCCACAGCAACAATGATCCTAGAGATGCTTGGCTATAAGATAAACACCACAGGCTACAAAGAGCATTACCCCCCATGGAGGAGAAGGCTGGAAGTGTAATGATCTCAGGAAGTAGGACCCAGAATTCAAGGCGACACAGGCAGTGGGAAAGTTCAAAGCATTTATTGAACAAACAGGTGCGCGGGACTGCTCGTCCACTGCGGAGCGGATCTCTGCAGGGATAGGAGAATACAGGTCAGTGACAGGATGTGGACCTGAATACGACTAGAGCTAGTCACTGACCTGATTCAAAGTTCAGTCCGTTCCAGGGGGCAGAATTCAGGAGGGAGGTTTGACCGCAGTCGCGGCAGGCAACGCCCCCAGAGTTCCTAGAAAGTGAGTGGAGCGGGCGCCAGCCGACGCCGAGCAGCAACAGAGTCCAGAAGGGAAATCCAAGGCCGAAGTCAGATGACAGTTCCAGGTTCAGAAGCCGGTAGAATTCAGGACCAGATATGACAAACACAGCAGACAGGGGCAAGGCAAAACTCGAGATCCTCAGGGCAGAAACTGGTCAAAATCAGGAAAACAGACAGACTAAAGATTCCTAGGAAACGTCTCACCAAAACACACAATTAACCTGGCACTGATGGGAGGCAAACACACAACTTAAATAGTAGCGGAACCAGGTGGAAATGATCAGTGATAATCAGCCGCAGAACCAATTAGACCCCTGAGCAAGGAGCAAAGGAAAAAACCAAACCATCAGCGCCAAGATCATGACAGGAAGCCAAGATCAAGGCAACACGAAGAGAGGTTAGTCAGCTCTCAGACCT